TGTCCCCGCTGTCCCGGTGACCCCGCTGTCCCGCTGTCCCCAGCCCCTGGCCGAGTGTGACCTGCGGGACGTGTCCTACCGCGTCTGCGGCCCCGCCAGCCACCAGCTGCAGCTGCCGGGGACAGCGGGGACAGCAGGGACACCGGGGACACCGGGGACAGCAGGGACACCGGGGACAGAGGGGACAGCGGGGGACACAGCGGGGCCAGAGGCCGTGGCGCTGCGCTTCCCCGAGGAGCGCGAGGCACAGCAGTGGTGGACGGTGCTGAGCAGCTCCCTCAGGGAGGCACGCAGAGGTGGGACAGGGACAGGGGACCTGGGGACGTGGGGACATTGGGGACACTGGGGATGTGGGGACATTGGGGACACTGGGGACATTGGGGACACTGGGGATGTGGGGACATTGGGGGGACATTGGGGACACTGGGGACATTGAGGGGACATTGGGAGGACACTGGGGACATTGGGGACATTGGGGACATTGGGGGGACATTGGGAGGACACTGGGGACATTGGGGACACTGGGACACTGAGGACACTGGACATTGGGGACATCGGGGACATTGGGGGGACAGTGGGGACATGGGGACACTGGGGACATTGGGGACATCGGGGAATGGGGGACATTGGGGACACTGGGGACATTGGGGGGACAGTGGGGACATTGGAGGGACATTGGGGACACTGGGGCGACACAGGGACATTGGCATGGGGACAGGGCTGGGGACACAAATGAGAGCACACTGGGACATGGGGGATGGGGACAGGGACATGGAGAGTCGGGGACAGGGCTGGGGACACAGGGACAGGGCTGGGGGGACAGGCGAGGTGGTGGCAGGGGACATGGAGATGGTGATGGGACACAGGGACAGGGACAGGGACATGGGACTGGGGACACGGGGCCGGGGACAGGGACACGGGACTGGGGACAGGGACACGGGGACAGGGACACGGGACTGGGGACACGGGGCTGGGGGCATGGGGTTGGGGACAGGGACAGGGGACAGGGTGACATCCCAGCCCCACGTGCCAGGCAGAGCTGGACACTGGGGGTGACCACCAATGGTCAGAGGTGTCCCCTGCTCCTGTCCCCGTGTCCCCTGGCAGGGCTGGCTGTCCGGGAGGGGACAGCAGTGACAGCCCCATCCCCGCCGTGCTCCCGCAGCCGCCGAGGGTGACACGGGGACGTCTCTGGTGCCACCCGCGGGGATGTCTCTGGTGCCACCCGCCGAGGGCCCCGAGCTGGATGCGGAGGAGCAGCAGGTCCTGGAGCTGGCCCAGACAGGTGACCCCAGAACCCCGGGGGTGGCACTCGCCAGGGCCACCCCGGCCTGTCCCCAAGTGCCACCTGCGCGGGGATGGGGGGACATTTCCCTGAAATCCCCCTGGGACCTCCCCTGGGGTCACCTCCTGCCCCCACGGTGTCCCCACGGTGTCCCTGGGCTGGGACAGTCCTGCCACAGGGGCTGGAGGTGCCACCCCTGGTGTCCCCTTGGTGTCCCCATTCCCACTCTGAGGGGCTGTGGGTGTCACCCCCGGTGTTCCCAGTGTCCCTGTGTGTCCCCATTGCCATCCCGGGTGTCTCTGGGTGCCACCCCTGTGTCCCCTGGGTGTCCCCATGTCCACTCTGAGGGGCTGTGGGTGCCATCCCCATGTCCCTGTGTGTCCCCCCAATGTCCCTGTGTCCCCAGAGGAGCTGGCCCTGCAGCTGGCCGAGGCGGTGGCCCTCGGGGACGAGGCGGTGGCTGCCCGCAGCGCGGCGGCGCTGGCCCGGCGCCACGCGGAGCTGAGCGTGCACCTGCGGGAGAGGGAGCGGGACGGGGCCGACATCAGGTGGGGATCCTGCCTTCCTCCTCATCGTCATCATCGTCACCATTGTCACCATTGTCATCATTGTCACCATTGTCCTCATTGTTCCACTCATCCCCAACCTCTGCCTTCCTCCTCATCGTCATCATCGTCATCATTGTCACCATTGTCCTCATTGTTCTGCTCGTCCCCAACCTCTGCCTTCCTCGTCATTGTCATCATCACCGTTGTCTTACTCATCCCCAACTTCTGCCTTCCTCATCATCACCATCATAATCATCCTGGTCATCGCTAAGTTCTGCCTTCCTCATCATCGTCATCATTGTCTTTCTCATGCCCAACTGTTGCTTTCCTCATTGTCATCATCATCATTGTCACTACTGTCCTCCTCATCCCCATCCTCTGCCTTCCTCATTGTCATCATCGCCATTCTCTGCCTTCCTCATCATCCTCATTCTCATCATCCGCATCCTCATCTTCATGCTCTGTCCCTGCGTTCCTTATCCTGATCTTCATCCCCATTTTTTGCCTTCTTTGTCATCGTGTCTTATCATTCTCAGTTTCATTCTCTGCTTTCTTCATCATCCTCAACCTCAACCTCATCTTCATCCTCATCTTAATGTCATCCTCATGCCTGTTCTCATCTTCATCATCCTTATTCTCTGCCTTCCTCATCCTCATCATTGTCGTCATCTTCATTCTCATTCCCTGCCCTTGCCATCCTCATCCTCATGATCTTCATCCCCATCCTATGCCTTCCTCATCCTCATCATCCTCTGCCCCTGCCTTCCTTATCTTCATCATCTTCATCCTCTGCCTTCGTCATCCTCTGCACTCTCCTCTTACTTCCTCCCCATTCCTCCCCAGCCCTCCTCCTCCTCCTCCTCCTCCTTCCTCATTTTCTGTCATTTTCTCCTTTTTCTTCTCCTTCCTCCCTTGTTTCTTTTCCTTCTCTTTTCTCCTTTTTCCTGCTTCTTCTTCTTTCCCTTTTTTCCTTTTTCTCCCTCTTCTCTTCCTCCTTTTCCTCCTCTTCCTCCCTTCTCATTGCTCCTTTTCCCCCTCCCTCCTCTCAGTTCCCATGTCCCATACCCCATACCCCACATTCCATATCCCATATCTGGTACCCCATATCCCATACCCCATATCCCATACCCCATATCCCAAACCCCAATCCCATATCACAAACCCCAATCCTCAATCTCAACCCCATTATTTCCCTGTTCCCAGCATGCCGTACCCCGTATCCCAAACCCTGATCCCAATCCCGTTCTCTCTCCCGTCCTAGCATGCCGTACCCCAAACCCCAATCCCAATCCCCATGTCTCTATGTCTCTCCCATCCCAGCATGCCAAACCCCAATCCGAAACCCCAACCCCAATCCCGTTCTCTCTCCCGTGGCAGCGTGCTGTACCCCACACCCCATACCCGTCCCAATCCCAAACCCCAATCCCAATCCCAACCCCGATCCCGTCTCTCTCCTGTCCCAGCATGCCTTACCCCAATCCCAAACCCCAATCCCAATTCCAAACCCCAATCCCAACCCCGACCCCAGTCTCTCCCGTCCCAGCATGCCGTATCCCAATCCCAAACCCCAATCCCAAACCCCAATCCCAACCCCGATCCCGTTCTCTCTCCCGTGGCAGCAAGCTGTACCCCAAACCCCAATCCCAACCCTGATCCCGTTCTCTCTGCCATCCCAGCATGCCGTACCCCAATCCCAATCCCACACCCCAATCCCAATCCCGATCCCAACCCCAATCCCGTTGTCTCTGCCATCCCAGCATGCCGTACCCCAATCCCACACCCCAATCCCAAACCCCAATCCCAATCCCACACCCCGATCCCGATCCCAACCCCAATCCTGATCCCAACCCCAATCCCGTTCTCTCTGCCATCCCAGCATGCCGTACCCCAATCCCAATCCCACACCCCAATCCCGATCCCAACCCCAATCCCGTTGTCTCTGCCATCCCAGCATGCCGTACCCCAATCCCAATCCCAAACCCCAATCCCAATCCCAAACCCCAATCCCAATCCCGATCCCAACCCCAATCCCGTTGTCTCTGCCATCCCAGCATGCCGGTGGGGGTGGAGGACGCCACGTCCTCGGCCAGCATCACGCTGCGGGTGCAGCCCCACATCACCATCGGCACCCTCAAGGAGCAGGTACGGCACGCCGGGGACACCGGGGACACTGGGGACACCGGGGACACCAGGGACACCGGGGACACCAAGAACACTGGGGACACTGGGGACACCAGGGACACCGGGGGACACCGGGGTCATCGGGGACACCGGGGGTCAGCTGGGGACACCGGGGGTCACTGGGGACACCAGGGACACTGGGGACACCGGGGGTCGTGCAGGGTCATCTGGGCTTACCTGGAGGGAATGGGGTCACCTGGGATCTCCCCAGGATCTCCCCTGATCCCCTGTGTGGCTCCCCGATCCCCTAAAATCCCCCTGACCCCTGATCCCAGAGCATCCCTCTGATCCCCTAGGATCCCCCTGACCCCTGATCCCATGGGATCCCCCCAATCC